TATATATATATATATATATATATATATATATATATATATATATATATATATATATATATATATATATATATATATATATATATATATATATATATATATATATATATGCTTATGTCAGATTTATTCCATGTATTTGTGCATTAGAACACAGACCTTTTCCAGATATTATCATGAAAATTCCTGTTATCGTGGGGGAAGTTTTGTTAAGGAAATGAAATTCCACAATGATTGATGATTTCTGGATTTGTATCTTCGAACTTCATGAAGACAACCAGTCCATATCTTGCAGCTAGTACGAAATACTACTGATAGTTCTAGTCGTTTGATTTATTAAATCCGTAAACGTCGCTCTGGAAAGTAAATGAAATATGTAAAATTATTATGAAAAATTTCAAGCCTACTTTGGATGCATCATGGTCGTCTCTCTTTTGGCTGTCCCCATGTAATCAGCCATGAACTTCACACGTGAAATCTATTTGTGTATATAAAGTATTTTTGAAGTCATTGATTCTATCTTTTACTATTGCTTGATGTTAGTTACATATGTCATTTCGATGTATTGCTTTTATTGTTTAAACTATTCAGAGGCTTCGTTATATTCATTCAGTTTGTGCATATCTGTTGAACAACAAAGGAAGTCCTTTTCCAATCTTTCATCTTTCCTGATTTTACTATTTCAATATTTGAGTATTTGCAATCCTGCCGAATTAATATTCGGATATTCCCCATCTATTTTCCTCTCCTATCAGATGAACTCTTCACCTTTTGCATTTTGTTAACTACGTGGATTTATCGGGAATTTCTCTCGTCTGTTCTATAATCATTAATGAAAGCTTTCTTTCTGTGCTGTATCTGAATAGTTCCTTTTTTCTGAAGTAAAAGTTAAATGAAAAATAACTGCGATTTATTTGCATTTCACATAACGAATGGCAGTCCGTTTTCTCTACAAGTTCAGTGCATTCCTCCGATGCTACGTGTTATTATTAGCGCTGAGTTTCATTTATCAGATAGTTGACAGAAATCTTGGTGAGGTACTCTCTGATGCTCGATGTAGCAAAGAATCGTACTACGCCATATGAATGAATTGGGAAGTTCAAGGTCTTATCGAACTCGATTTTCACAAGATTCATGGAACCATGATTTCAGTTCTCATTAGTACCGTTCAATTAATCTTAAACCCTTCGTGAAAGGGAAATATCATTTTACAAATGCCATTTCTGTTTCGAGAAATATATTTCCCGAATTTTCGAGACAGCTCTGAATTTTTTGTACTCTTTGCTCGTCGATAATTTTTTCTAGCTTCTTCGTTTTTCATGATCCTCTGGCTATGTAGCCAAGAATTTCCTAAGTTATTGGAGTGAGGTGCGAAAATACTGTCAGAAAAATTGTTTCCCAAAATTTTAAGAAGACCACTATAAAATTAAAAAAGTCACTAAATTAAACTAAAAAAAACTGTTTCCCATCCTAGAATTTTTCTGAAATGCTTTGACTATGAACTAATCTGTTTGTGGCTGCATTCTTAAATTTTCACCTTTTCTTTTTTAAAGAAGCATAATAATCAGGATTTTGGCATCAGAATGGATATCTGTCATTTTAGGCATCACACTAAGGGCAGAATGATAGTATAACTGTCAGTATTTCGTTTCTATAAAAAATTATTATTACGTGACTTCATGTGACAATAAAGTTGTAATTGTTCTTGTCCACACATATTTTAAACGAACTTCCCTAGCTAAAAAAACGGCTTTTGTGCCACAAAAGATGATTGGATGCAATTTGCAGAAGTATCAAAGGTCAAAAAAAAAAGACAATATTCACTTGATGGTACAAATCGTATTTCATTCAAATAACTGTTTTCAGCTACTTCCATTTCCGATTTACCTAATCATATATACGAGTACTTATTATCCGATAATCATACTTACCGCTCTGTAACTTAAAATAGCTTAATCGAAGGAAGCATTTACTCAGGTTTATCGTAATGAGATATTCCGGCTAGAGTTGTAACTCTTCTAAGTGGTAAAAAATGTGAAAATGTTACGCAAAACATCAAACAGTAATATTTGCAACGATTATTGTTTCAATTTCGAAATTTTGATGGGAATATCCTTTTGTGAGTTTTGGCTAGTTCAAGTTTTTGTAATGTATTACAATACGATGTAGTGATATTAATAATTTTTATGTGAAGTACTTTCCCGTCTAACTCTAAATTTATTTCAATTTGCCAGTCATTTCAGCAAAGTGAAGGGACAATTTCATCCACATAATAATATATTGTGTAACACTGTCAAGTGAAGCATCCCGGTCAGTTCAACTACCCTGAAATTCGAGGTATGCAAACGTTAGCATAGTGAATAACGGTCGTCTGATAAAAGGAAATATATTCCTGGTGCACTACTACATCTAATTCAGATTAAGCAGTTTGAACTGCAAATTTGAAGCACTAAATTCCGGGTTAGATGAAGATAGCACTGGGTATAGGAATATTTATACTTCATCTTTATATATTTCGACTTGATAAAATCCAGAATTATCTGCAGTGTCTCGATGTCACTACTAATTTAGTTTCAATTGATAAGCAGACACCAACTGCCTAAATTATCAGACTTGAATGATTGAACTTCAAGCTGATTTGATCCACCAGTAAGAGCGAAAAACTAGAAAGAAACAAATAGCATTTTTCATCTCAGATTTTAGCGAGTTAATTCTAACACAAAATAAAAAAAGGGAAAACTTGACGCTGTACTGAGTTATTTTTATGTGCATGTTGCATTTTGATAAATGATTGTTTACTCCTATCTTAAATTTCATTTATTCGTTTCTCCTGTTCTTCCATTTCCTTCTTGAGGATAGGTGGTAAATCAGAACCAATCTGGAAGATAATAAACAATTACTGCTACAAACAGTTTACGAAGTAACCATCATATCAAATACTGTTTGGCATCGACCCTTTCATAACGTCCGATGACAAACAACACATCGATTGAGACCACTTGTTACAAAAAATGCACAAAAGAACTGTAAAAAATGTCCTTATCATTGAATTTCATCTCTTCTCTGCTGATAGTGAAGCAGGTTATCATATAAAGTTGAAAAATTTACTAGATTTAATATTACTAATTATTTCATTGAGAAAGAGAAGCTTTATTTCTACTTGCTGCTCGAAGAATCTTCGTGTCTCTTTAGCTTCTTCTAGCCAAAAGTCTTTCTGCACATTTAGCAGTTTGATTATATCAATTTTCGGCAAACCAGAACAGCTGATGCTATTTTCGGTGGGAATATTGCCAATGACAGTGGTACGAGAAATTGTCGTCTTAGCACCTCCAACTTTCTTCACGATCCATTCCAAAATCCGAATGTTTTCACCGCATCCAGGCCAAATGCATTTTCCATTGGAATCTTTTTGGGAGAAATTGACAAAGAAAATCTTGGGTACCTGAAAAATACCCGGTTCAAGCGGACGAGATTAGGAGAAGTGATAATGAAATCTCCTGAATGATTAATCACTCCTCGTCTCATCTTAGATAGATAGGTCGGGCTAGATGATTGCAACTCGTGATATCATCATCAGTTAAAAATTATGACAGTGTCAGTACACCGCATTGATTGAATAGTGAATGCAACAATCAATCTCATTGCAGTTTTCGATTTTGACAAGGGGCACACAGTATCAGTCATTACCAAACAAACTGTACTTATACAACTTAACTTGAACCGTGGTAGTTTTTGCAAAATGAATCCGGATTTTTGGATATTTCATACCTTATGGCCTAAACTATCCATGTCCAGCCAATATTGCAAGTATTTCCCAAGGTTATATCCAATAAATGACCCCATTGCCATGGGGTCGTGTTCTACTTTGAGTTCATTATAATCTTTTGCACAGGTTGATTCAGACCGAAGCGATGCAGCCATGAAAACTCCATGCTGCCATGAAAGTGATTCAGTAACAAGAGGTATGCCCAAGGATCTGAAATTGTTCACCGATAGAAAGAAACCATGACAAATTGAAATTGCTCATACATAGAAAGGAACCATGTCATTTGCACAAACAGATTTTCCCGATCAAACAAATTTGAAATTTATACTGACGATTAAATATCGTAATACAAAGAAAACCAAGCTCATTTTTAAACGGTCAGGTTTGTAGTAGCAGATTTAATATGTGAAAGCATGGTAAAAAGCAACATATCAAATATGTGATACGGGTAAATCAAGCAACAATGTCATTATAATTCACTTTCTCTTCCACATGAATTGATTTCCCCATCACCAATAAGATTCACATCGTCTGTGGATCACTCATATATTCTGAATCAGGAAATCATCAACTCTACCTATTCGTGCCAAAAATGATTGCCGATATGGGTACACCATTTTCTGTATCCCATTCTGGATGTCTATTTGGAATCTGTTCAAACGGAACACAATAGCAAGCATCTGTATGTGCTGCACGGCCTTCTTGGCCTATTTTCCATTTTTGTCCTTGCCAATTGATCATTTCAACTGCCGGATTCTGGAAATATTATTAAGTCGAAACAAAATACAACTATTTCTTCTGAGTTACCTTTCAGATTTATCAATAAAATCGAAAAGGACCTTCTAACCTACGAAAAAGAATAGAGACAAAGTATCGAGCCATATTCTCATTCTTTTCCCTTAAAAAATATTCGCCACTGCAGAGATGTTATCAGTCATTACTTGAACTCCATATGATATCTCATGTGCAATCAATTCCTCATTAGTAAATTTTGACAGATAAATTTAGCCAAAAAGGCAACCTCAATATCTTGCTCTAGTCCTTCCCAGAAATATTCCCCATTGGCAGTTTCGGCAACATTTGTGAATATCGTATTTTTGCTTATAGCAGTGATAGCATGTGGACTGGTTTTATTATTACTACCCGGTGCGGTGCATAAAATACCACTTGCTGGGTTATATCCATAGAGGCGATCATCCAAACCAAATTTAAGCCATGCAATGTCACACCCTGTACATTGTTTTATTTTAACAAAATAATCAGTTCTTCAGTCTACTTTCATTTATGGCTTTGTTTATCAAAGCCGAGGAAAATTCCTTATAATCCTAAAAGCACTTTTTCCAATTTAATTAATATTATTCAGTCCTTCCGGTTTTTTAAGACTATCCGAAATCAGCTTAATTTAATTTCTTGAATCCAGAAAAATGTAAGTGAAATATGATGGAACGTACCAATACAGCGTACTTCCCATCCCTTAATCGATGGTTTCATCGTTGCTAAGTTAATTTTGTCGGTTCTTGAAGAAAACGCTGCTGCTATAAAAAGCTCTTCACCTCCAGGGGGTTTCACACCTGGAAAAAACACACTCACTAATTCTTTATCAATTCGAGCATCCTAATAGTTTTCATCATTTATAAATGTCGTTCTCATAAGATTGTTACTTATTGCAATTTTCACTTAAAAACTTTACTGACTTTTCGACATGCGTGGGAATTGAAGGAATTGCTTCTACACTACCGCTTTTATGGTGACCTCACATCTTTTAATACAGCTAGGTAACATTTCTGTGAATTTGCCGAAATACCTATGATAAGCATATGTTCTGCTAGCCAATCATTCTTGTAAGCCAATACCGATGCCAATTGTAAACCGAAGCATTTGATGCTTGTAAGAGTATTGTAACCATATGTAGTACCAAACGACCATACTTGTCTCTCATTGATAAGATGCACAGTTAGTGCCTTCTCCAGATTACATCGCCAGTTTTGTTGTTCTGAGAAGCATCAGTTACTGATAACAATGATAAAAATGAAGACTGCCACTGTCCAGAATATTTTTTTGAATTTCTGCAAAACTGGAAGAAATGAAATTTAAATATACAATCAACGTGTGAATGGCTTAAATCTTAAACTTTGGGTTTTAATATTCTCCAAAGAATTGAAAAACATATGTACGACAAACTTTGGGTTGACAGAGGCGTAGCGATAGAGTGGATACAACTCACATGTTCACCTTCCTCACCTATATTCAGCCAAACATCAGGAGAAACACGTGTCATGATACACATCATCAGTACGATATACGGTGTATCTGTTAACTGTAATTTATACTTTTGAATATTTTAAGTAATTTTTGAAATGACATTTTATTTCTTATTCTGAATTCATTGCCAGCGAATAGTGAATAAAATTTTTTCTTGGAGTCATTCAATACATATGTCCTTCATCATTACATCCCGCTTCAAATGGGGCTTTTGTGCGTTTTAAAAAACACTAAATATGCAACCATCTATAAGATCATTTTAACGACATTCAAATCAAGCAAGAATTCTCATGAAGATAAGAGGAAACACTGATGCCTACCAATACACCGGATATGCAAAGTGGTGCACCGGTTGCGCCTAGTGAAAATGGTACTACATATAGTGTACGACCTGAAATGTATTTCATACAGAAAGTAATTTGTAAAGAAGAACAGGACATAAAAATATATTCGAGTGGTAGAAGTTTTGAAAATTTTTAAAGCGAAACTCTTTAACGAATTTCTATAGCAAAAGTCCTCTGTAAAAGTAATAAAAATCCTTAAAAAAGGAACAATTATCGATTCATACCAGCCATACATTTCGGGAAACGACTATCCAATTCATCACTGCACCGATTCCGATCCATCCACCGACCGAAATTCCACTTTACATCGGAAGCCGCATGGCACTCGATATCAAATTTATCGTTTGTAACAATCCAAGTCATTTCTCTCATACATGCTACATCCTGAAGTGGTATATATGTTCCATAATATTATTCACGGATGAAACATTTTTCGAAAAAAAAAGGTCCTGAGCCAAGCAAGTAAACAAATGATTAATCATCCATATTACATCTGATTACTTGTTAGCCTGGAAGAAATGGACCATTTGAAGAATGAAAAAGTGGCTGGGCAAAGTTTGTTTAAAAAGTGATATTCGTGTTACAATGTGTCATCAACAGTGTAACGACATTTCCTTCGAAAAAATCAAAAGTAATTTTTGAAATTCAAAGAGTACCTTTGGATCTGTCCGAACAAGCCAATTATTGTCATAGGTTTTCAATGGTACCATTAATTTTGTATCAATCAATTCTTTCTTCAGATTTACTATTTGTTGCTCAGATCCGTCCACAATGTATATTTTATTGGGTGTCATCAGCAGGGCCTTCTCCACCACAAATATCTTGATATTTTGAGGTAAAACTTCGAATACACCCTGATAAGCAAATTTAATGCTATCGAATTAAACCGACAACAAATCAGAAATAAGTTTCAGGACGACGAAGACCGAGAAAATAAGTAGACATGTCGAGATTTTTTTGATATCAGCAGTTTATATCCACCTTAAGGTGTATTCAAGCAATGAAGGTCTAATTCTTTTCCCTTTGAAGTAACACGTGGTACTGACCCGATTGCGATATTGCAACTGATTTCACAGTTTAGCAAACAGCATTCGAATTAGTTGACTGTCTAATGAATGTTCTAATTTGAGAAATTAATTGATCGAATCACCTTTCAACATTATATCACATTACATTGTTAGGAAATGTTAGATATTCATTAACCTCAACAATAGGGATGTCGCCAATTTTTTCGGAATCCTTTGTAGCAGCATTGAAATTATCAGCTGTAATTTGTGTCAGTGACATACCAACTTTAGTCATCTGGAAAAAGAAACATATTGTAGTAAGTTAACTAACAGCGAACTGTAATTAGTTTAATCCTTACATAATGAAATATTAAGTGACATACTTATGAGAGAAAAAAATAATTGGCAGCAAACTTACAATTTCGTGGAATAACTAACTTTGTCCACAAATACTTCCAGTTTTTATCTCGGCAAATTCAGCGAAAATTTATGCAAAAAAAATACCGAAATGATTTACATAAATCATTTGCGACAAGTGGAGACGGTAATTTTCTGAACTACTAAATAGAAAAGTTTAAATTGAAATACCATGCGAATTTGTGCAGAAAAGAAGTTATAAAAGCTGTTAGAGATGACAGAAGAGATCATTTTCAAGTTACATAGGGCACAAACAGGCGGTAACTTCGGAATCGGAAATGGCACAACAACTAGTACAGCTTAATCCTGGTGATCAAGTTGATCGTTGGCATATCGATAGAAAACTCGGTGAGGGTGGTTTCGGTGCTGTTTATCTGGTATGCGCTCGTGTTCAAATAAAAGTTGATCTGAAAAAACAAAATCAAAATTTCAAGAAGATTATTACGCATGACTAAAACAATGAAATTTATTTTGAAATCAATCTAAAAAATACTCCTCTGCTACAGGTATCAGATCCAACCGGAAAGTATGCGTTGAAAGTTGAAGGTGTCAACGAACAGATTCAGGCATTTCTTCAAATTTTTTATTGTTTCATGATAAAAATATTGTCGTGTTTCTCAAGTTTAATTAAAACTTTACTTGAGCAAGATGGACATTTTTCAGGTACTCAAAATGGAGGTATATGTACTTACTGAGCTAAATAAACGTAACAATAGACATTTTTGTAAAATTGAAGACAAAGGACGTTTTGGATCATTCAATTATGTCGTCATGACTCTGGTCGGCAAAAGTTTGCAGGTAGTGCTTTACTAACTAATGTAATTATAGCCTAAAAGAAAGTAAAATGAAATAGCAGATCAGAAAGTAAAGTAGAAATTAAATTAATTTATACAATGCCTGAAGTATAGGAAGTCTATGCGTCTGAAAAGTAAAACGCAAAATTTGAAGAATCAGAAATTGGAAAAGTTTAGGACCTTCGTAAAGCAGGTCCAGGACAACATCTTTCAATGGGTACGGCGCTTGGTGCGGGAATTCAAGCACTGGAGGCACTGGAAGATCTTCATTCAATTGGCTATCTTCATAGGTTGAACATATCTCATTTTCTGCCTGCAATTCCACAGGCATATCCTACCTATCCGATCTCACTATAATTTCTCCTGATAAATTTCTTCAATTCTGTAATGAAATGTTCAGATATGAGATATAACATATTTCAAGAGATGTAAAACCGGGAAATTATACAATTGGTCGCCCAGAATTGAATGAATTGCGCAAAGTTTATGTACTCGATTTTGGGATGTGCCGAAAATTCACGAATTCTCAGGTAATCAATTTTTTTGAGAACATGAACACATGATGATAAACAGAAATCATTACCCTTCTCTTAAATGTCATTTTATAGAATGTCATCCGTAAGCCAAGAGCGGCAGCCGGTTTTCGTGGTACAGTACGTTATGCGCCTATTTCGTGCCATCTTCAGCGTGAGCTGTGCCGTAAGGATGACGTTGAAACATGGATTTATATGCAAGTCGAACTTACCACCGGCAACTTACCGTGGAAGAATGTCGCTGATATGAATCAAGTCTGTTTCAGATTTATTTCTTTTCTTAGAATGGAAATTAATCCTTTAAGCAACAAAAAGTAACCTTTTTGTAATGAATGTTTATAATTGAGGAGGGCATTGTTATAATTATATATCTAATCAAACTAATTTTTTAGGTTGGCGAATATAAGAAGCGATGTCGGTTTGAACCAGCGATAAATGAGCTATTAGGTGGTTGCGCTCCGGAACTGCGACAAATTTTGCAAATCGTTGATGCGCTTAAATATTACGACCAACCACCATATCAGCAAATTTACCAGCTGATGCGCCAATCTTTCCAGACTATGGGGTGCCAGGAATTTCCATATGACTGGGAGAAACCCGGTGGCGGTGTCTTTTAAACAAACATGTCGATTGGTTGATAATGATATATCATAAATACAGGTGCAAAGATTCTTCACAGTCCTTAATTTAATGGAAAAATATCTCAGAAGCTACTTGCGAATAATGAACCCTCATAATTATATTATGCCAACTCGTAGAAGTGATAGAACGATTGTCAATACTGCATAAAATTTCACTGAACTTTTTATCAAACAAGAAATTACAAACCGACCGAGAGATCCTTAGATATTGCGCCTAACTCACTTCCTCATTTCTCGATAAAACCTCTTCTTCCCTAAGCGAGTTGTTAGACTATTTTGAAATTCTGATTTTTCTTGGAGTCATGGCTTCATCTTTTCGACACATTTGATGATATTGTCAACGTTCAGAGTCATTGGGATGATTCATGAAATAAAGAGGATGTCATGTTTCCTCACTGCAGTTTCGAAATCAGTCAAAATACACGTAACAAGGAATTACACTTATCATCAGGATGGTTCTATGATATGCTTGAGTTAAGCATAGAAAGTCGGAATAGCAATCAGGATCTATGTTTAACTTAAATTTGACATAGGCTATATCTTAGTGTTTCTTCGCAACTCAACTTTTTTTTCAATAAGTTTCGAAAGAAAAACGAAAATTTTGACACTCCTGAAATTCCGTAATTATAATATACGGATGTTAAGACAGCATAATAAATTAACAGATCATAGTAGTATCAAATAGAATATTAAAATCCGGTTTCATTGCTTTCAAAGTCTGCTGGCGTGAAAAGATCCTCACTGACCACTTCTGAGGCTGTTGCCCGAGTTATTCCATTTTTCGAGTTTTTTGATTCGCTAATTCTACAATCAGATTTTAATGTAACAATGGCAGTAAATAGTAATTAAGTTTTTAAATGAATCAGAAACAATTGAAATTTCAAGGAAATAATTTGATAGATATGTATCAAAAAAGAATTCTCAGCAATCAAAAGTATGCTAACTCAGCTCTAGGCATTTGCTTCAAATCATGCTTTATGCCATGCTTTCAACTAATGATCTGTAATGGTTCGGATCATCTCGTCTAAAATCAAGGGGATATCACCTAATAGCTATCAACCATGTTAAGATTGGTCTCTAATAGATAACAGAAGCTAGAAGGAAATGTTTGGCAATTTTCCGAGATTTCTTTAAAACGAGATAAAACATTATACATATCGACTGATGTTGGTTTATGGGAACGCATTCGCGATAATGATCGGCTTACATATGTTAAGCCTTTCCTGATTGAACTCGTAGTAGTGGGTTCCTCCCAGTCATATGGATCGTTGAATCTGACAAGATGATCATGCAACCCTTGACATCTTATACATTCTATTTTGGTTCAAATTAAAAGTCATGTTTCGAAGTTTTTAAATAAAATTAAATCTATACGTTTTTCTATTTTATAAAAAATAAATTTAAAATCCGCATTTTTCTTTTCATTTCAACCTAGCATAATTGAAAATGGTTTTGGCATAGCTTTAGGTTTTATTCGCCATTAATTTTCAAAAAGTCTCAACGTTATACCTCAACCGAAAGAAAAAATTAGCAAATGAAATCCTGTAAATTATCCTGCCAACGCACGCTTACACAGTGCATTATATATATATATATATTTTACATTGAAATTTGAAAAGTATAGACAGGCTTGGGAAGAATTACTTGTAATTAAAGAATTACTTGTAATTACAGTTCTGCATCACTTGATACAATCTTTCATAAATGTAGGAATAATTGGGACGCGTGTAATAATCCAACGTTCGAAGATGTGTTGTGATCTTAATAAAAAGTATTTTAAGTGTAAAATAGCAATTTAAATTTGAAATGTAAACTTTCAAAGACACAATGATTCTCAAAAACTGAACAAAATAAATGCTAAAATTTATGGAAAAAAAGAGTTATTTGAAGAGAAAAGAATAGTGAGAGAGCTCACAATTGTTCATTGTGTAATTGAGCTTTTAAAGTTAACCCAACAATTTTTTATAAAAAACAAAGGCTAACATCAAGAAATTCTTTGGGACTATTACTGCACAAGATCGTATCGAGTGTTTGAAATTTTGCCTTTCCAATTTCATCCTTACCACTGAAATTTTCAATTACTTATGATTCATACTGGATGATCAGAAAACCCAAAATTTGAAAATTTTAAAGAATAAACGAAGCTCAGATAGTACCGAATATCATCCCACGGTAACGGACCTCGCATTTCCACCAAAACATACATCATCGACCACAAATCGTCCGGTCTGCCTTGTTCGTTACGTGTGTGGGTGTTAGCCGAGCAATATTTTACCGTACCTCTGTAATTTCAGTCCCTTAATTTCGAAATTACGAAGATTATATAGAATGAAGAAGCCAATAAGGATTCCATTCTTCTTGTTCTATTTCCAACCTATAGTAACTAGCCATGGAACACAAGGTTAAAGTCTCTTGATATGTTTCGCTTCCTCTTAAGAGATTGAGAACGAAAGATAGCCATTTTTTTTTGTTGTATCCAGGATTTTATTCGTCAAAAATTCAGAATCATTTCGAGTAGTTAGGTATTCTAGTAAATAGGCATTATGAAAAACATGTCATTTACGGTGCTTTTTTTGGCTTTATAAAGTATTTCTCAAAAAGGACACGACACTAACCGGAACAGAGTATTTGTTCTAGGCATTCGCAATTTAACACTACCATTACTTCGCATTACATATTCTCGTGATAAACCAAAATCAAGGATGTGAATGATATGAACAGCTTGACCTCGTCGACCAATAGCCAGATTGGCTGGTTTCACATCTCGATGTATATAACCAACCTTAATATCTTCTAGTTCTAAGAATGTAACAAATTATACAGTATTACTGCGGCACGTCGTATTAGGAAGGTATCATGGATTTTCATCATTTTTTGATTTACAATTTATAATTTTTACGAAAATTTTTGAACAACGAACTTCATGCAACTGTTTTAGACCATGCAAAATATTGATTCCAACTCGAACTTGCGTCGAAACGGTACATACAGGATATTGCTTAAATAGTTGATTAAGCGAACGTCCAAGAAGTGTCATAACCATATACGAATACCTGTAAAGATATTGCCCGCTCCATTTTAATATTTGCTAGCAATCAACGGTGTATAAAATCACACCTCTTGAGAATCCCAAATCAGTGATTGATGCCTTTGTATTGCTATGAAAATATTAGATAAAGTAAATGAAAAACTGCGAAAAGTTTCGTTAAAATTCAAAAATGTTAAGAAAAAGAAGGAAGTGGGAAAAGAAAGAAAAGAAGGAAAAGAAGGAAATGAGCAAAATTCTAACCTCTCCTTCTTGGCAGATTGAAATAATTGCACCACATATTTACGACCTTCTAAACGTCTGAGTATCTGCACTGATATCATATCACAAATAGAATTTTTCTTAGTATTATAAAGACTGATAGTCAGAGATATAAGAAAATCGAAGAAATAACAGTCAGCAATTTTGAAAATATTTCAATTGTTACAATTTCTGCTCATAAATCTTATAAATTATTTGTACTTATTTATTGATTTGGATCCAATTACTCATTTAAATTTCAGTCTCTTTAAGTTTCATTATTAATCCTAGTTTTATTTTTTTTAAATTACTTAAAACAGAATTAAATTTTTATCCTTATCTTCTTAGATTTACTATTAAATGCAAACTTATGCTACTGCCCATTAACAATCAGAAATTAGTTCCAACATGAAATTGCATACTATTTAGGAAGAAAACTCGGTATCTGAGGTGTCAAGGGAAGTCTTCAAGTACCTGTACTTCTAGTTTCAGGACACTGCCACCTTTAATAAAGTTCGATTCAGCTTTCAGTGCTGCCTGAAACATTTCCCAATGACTTTCAGTTTTTTTATTAATTTACAAATGAAAATATTAAAGAAATAATCACAACTTTGGCAAACGTTTGGATATCTTCTACTTTGTAAACCGCACCGCAACCACCTTCACCCAGCTTATCGATTATCCTCCAGCGTTTACCAACGATCAATCCATTTTCGAGATGTTGAGGACCTTGAGTAGTTCCTGAAACTGGTAAATCAATAGTGATCATATGAATTATCGTTTGAAAACTGGTCCTACAATCAAATACATTGAAACTGAATATGCGAAAACGAGTTGGATCTTCCCCCTTGTTCTTTATTATGCATTAATGATGCAATGAAATAATCTTCAATAATACTAGTATTTAAATCTTATCACAATAAATTCCGTAAATTTATGTTGTTTTTGAAAGAAATTTTGATTGGAATTGAACATTGAATTTTATTAAATATTGAATATTGAATTTGAATTCATTGAATTCATTGAACATTGAATTCAATATTAAATATTGAATATTGAATAAAAAATATTGAATTTTGATCAAGCAAAGTTGAGTAAGAGAGTGAACCTGATGACTTCTTTTTTGGCATCTGATATAACACCGGTGACAATGAGAGCAGGATACTGGATTAAAAGCACAGAACCGAACTTCACCCAAACCAAAAAATTAAAATATGAAACAATAACTGTATCGCACTGAGCTGTTTGCATATATACATCTGTGTGTATTGATGGAAATTAGCCTAGACTTATGAATTTAGATAAAAATTACTACAAGTATTGATAATTACTTTTCACTGAATTAGAACGATTTTGACAATCTCGACCAAATCTTTTCCCATATTTAAACTCTTATTATATTTTTGTAGTATCGAAAAAATTATATATATATATATATATATATGTTTTTATATTTGTAGAAAATTTTCACATGTATTTCCATGGAAAGCAAAATAGCACATGTCTTAGTACTTTACACAAAATTCACAACGAAAGGTGGAAAGTCGAAGGGATCAACTGGATACTGCCAACTTTTAATACCTGGTCATTATTCCCCTTCCTAAATCAAATTATATTAGTTGCTTCTACCATTTTGCGACTTATTTCGAGTTCGAAAAAGAAAATCGTTTGGGTTTCTTGCTTCTGCAACATTAGTTCATTAGGCTAAAATAAATATAAAACAAAGAGCAAGTAATAAGTTAGTAACAAATAACAAAATTCATGTAGTATACATTCAATTTACTGAAGTATACATTCCAATATTAAATAGCAAATGTCAGCGCTGCAACTGCTTCTTCATCAATCAAACAAATACTCACGACAATCCGTAGCACCAGAACTTTCCATCTGCGCTACGACTAATTTTCCACCAATTTTGACTTAGATGACATAGTAATATCAACGAACATAGCATCTATGGTACACTTTCGATTGCTACATATCAACACATATCAAAACCATGACTGCACGTAATATGTGATGATAAATAGAGGAAATTAAACGAGAAGGGATTTGCCAATACATTGGAAGTGGCTCCGGGAAACATGAATTAAGATGAACTTTATTTGAAAAGAAAGATTAAACGAACATTTTGAATAAACCATGTAAAAAAGCTAAACAAGTGAAAGCTGACCTGAAATTTTTATCAGATCTTAATATTTATTTGAGAAAATAACAGGAAAAAGTATTAGATCAGATCAGATCTAAAGAAGCTGTTGTTCTGAAAGAATCGAAGTGAGTAACCGATAATATTCACCACGGCATATTTTCCGGATATCGGGGAATAGCGAATGGTTATAATGCTGTTTATACTCATGGCAAATATTCGATAAATCAATCTATAAATTATGCATAGTAAATTGTTGTCTATTGCCTTCTCCCTCAGTTTGGCTTTTAGAGAAAAAAAAGTCTAAATTTCAGAAATTTAGGGTAAACGACAGAGATATAATGATGCCAGAGATATTTTATATGAATTTTTTCAACGATTTCATTAAATTATTACATACTTACACTTATGGACTATCTATTTGCTGAATATTGATTTCATGTTGCTCTTGCAAGTTAATGAAAACCTTTGTTAGTGAAGAAATATAGGATTTATATCAGCTAAATCTTATGTTTTCGGAGACCAAGATGAGAAGTGGAAGAAAAAGTTTACTTCACTCCTGCTTACAATGACCCTCATGATGGTTCTATAATCGGGTTTTGAACTGCTCAATGCATCGTGCAATCTTTCCGCAAAATACCACTGTGTGTTACGAGATATTTTCACTGAAAAGGAGGTAGACTAACTTAATAGTTATTGGTTGGTGACAAGAATTTAACATCAATAATGCGCAAAATAACTGAATTGACTAAATTGTTTGTTAAAGATCACAATTCTATCGTAATCGTAAGAGTTGCGTATTTTAATTCGTGCCTACCTATGGTGAGCAACATATTTTTGATGTCATCTGGGATATTTCCGTTATAGGTAATTTGCGTTTCGACGAAATGTCCATTACCACCAAGTTTAGCGTCTATAGTATCGATAACCTTAGCGATATGTTTCCAGGAATGACCGATGAAAAGTTTCTCAAACAACTCCACATTATGGCTTATTTTCTCGATTCCATTTGAATCCTACATAAGAAAGTGAGGCTAAACTTGTAATAGACGAAAAACTGCACTTCGTGAATGAAAAAATCAAATCAAAAAAAAGAAAAGCGCCTCATGCAGTTGCAGAGAGCACTTTGAGACTAGGCAGAATTGTAGTCAATTAATACAGACGACAAACTACCTTTCGCTTTTGTTATTATGTGATAGAGCGGTTGATCGGCATTATAGAAGTCTGAATTACTAATTGGACAAATTGATAAATAGTTAAATAAATAAGAATTCAGTAAGTGATATAAACAAGTGATTTATGATTACTTGCAATACAATTATCAATTGTTAATTGTTGTGATTAACAACTGACAATGGTACTGAAAGCGGACATAAATAATTTCTCATAAACTGCTTTCTAATTTCATTATTCTATCAGTCTCATTTAAGAAATTGACGATTAAATTTGAATCGAATTTATTTCAAAATGATTCAAAGTTGCACTCAACAACTACCTTTACGATGAGATTGGCATGTTCTTCTATCAAGGTATTAGTTTCATTGATTTCCTCATCACGAGATGAACAAAGCAATAGCCGAAGCATTACACCAAACATTCCTTCTACCTGAAAGAATGTCAAAAAGAGAAGTTATTTATTGTGAAATAATGTGAGTGTTGAATACTGAGAGAAAGTCTTGTAGTTGAATTTCCCAATTCTCCTGATATTATCTTGTTGGAAATGACCACCTTGACCACTACATCCTTTTCGAGAGTATTGGAAAATGCTGTCTGATATGCATTCTTGATCGCTTTCATTTGCTGCAAATTGGAAAACAAAACAAAAACAAATCATGGTTTAGTTGGACAAATGAGAACAGTATTATTAAAGCATTTTGAGAAATAAGCTTGGTAATTTTTTAATTTCCAATTGCATCGCAATAAATTGAATTGTAGAAGTCAATTTTCATTTTGTTTTTTCAATATGTTCATTTTTTCAGAATGGACTTCAGTAAGTTGAAAAATGGACAGCCTAAAAGGCAAGGGTGAGCGGATGATAGCTCGAAGATTTTATGAGATGCACTAGAAATTTTTGGTGAATATCTATTAGAACACTATGCACTTTCTGGAAATTTCAGTAATTTCCCAATCTACGATGATGCAAACTATTTCATAATAAATGCATACCGTTGTTGTTCGCGTACAGGCAATTTCTACTGCAATAGCACGATTGAGTTTATGGTTCTAAAATTTAAAGATTATGTCATTTTTGTTTTGTTACTTATCATTTCAAAGAAAAGTCAGAGATATAAATCTCCAATTAAAAAAAAATTAGTGAAAAGTTGACAAAATTGTGACTCTTTCTTCCCATACACAGAGTGAGTGATGGAGTAAATTAGCCAAGTAGACATGAGCAGGAATAAACAGAGCTGAAATAGTGTCTAGGAAGAATCCACCAAGTTCATCTTTTAAATCATCCATTAGCACCTGAAAATTTCTAACAAATTTCTGTGATTCTATCGAGCGTTATGCATATTTTTTTCCTATTTCTTCATCCTGAAAAAGGCTAATTACGATTCATCAACGCTGTGATGGATAATTAATACAAAATGGGGATCAAATTGCTCTATAAGTCTAAGAGTCTAAGGGGCAAACCGATCTGATTTCGGAATAAGAAAAAAAATTTAGGAGAAAAAAAGTTTTACTTTTACTACCGCCAAAATCTTGGTCAAAAGAGCTATGGAGAATGATCGAATTGTTCTGAAGTTGTTAGTTGAACATATATATTAAACTCATCACCTAACTTATGTAAGTTGTAAATATAAGCAAATGTTTAGATGATGAAATAACGAAAATTTACGAAGTTCAAAATTTTTGTAATTATTCAGCATTTCGTTAAATGAGGAAGGGTAAAAACATACCCTCGAATACAAATATTCATATGTATTCATAATCCGTTGTCGTTGAAAATTGTTATGACCCACAGTGACTTCAATGATTACTTTCTCGTTGGTATCTACTACGTAAAGCATTTTTTTCCGTTTGCTTGTCTTGGATCAGGATTACGACAGAAATTTGTATGGTTCAATTTGAAAGCTAGTTTATCCTTATCATAGCCATATTTTGCTGTAGCAATATTTTGGAATGAAAATGCTTAATTATGTACAGAAAGAATGGTGTTTTCTACACGTTTACGATTTTACCGTAATTAAGCTCTAAACTTGAGAAAGTAATGGAAGTGATACCAAGACCGTTCAAGGCTTGTCGAAGTTTTTCGCTTGCTTTCACCGGATGAAAATTTTCGTCTGATGGACCAATTACGGTTCCACGGATATTCTTATTCTGTAAAATTGATAAGGAGTTATTTTTTATCGAAGTCTTCAGAGATGGACTACTTTTTTTTCATCAAAAAAAAGTATATAAAAGGTTTTTAGGAAGTGTGTAATAAATTTTCTATGTTCTTCTAAAGAAAAATAATGCTAAAAGATAGCCTTATCGATTAGTTCTTTTCAAGATCACTTACTTGCTGGAGATAAATTTTACTCTTCTACTTTAGTGCCCTTAAATAAGCCCTTAAATAAGTCGATATATTTATTTTAAAGCATTATTTTTTATAGAATATAGCGCAAAGATAAATTCGTTCTTTTTCTTTTTTTTTTCAAATAGATGACACTACGTTTTTTCGAATCAATTCCAACTAATCTTCTGCCAAAGGAATATTTGAAACAAACTTTGTTCACATTCATTTGATATATCAGTGGTAATGATGATCGCTTGCTCTGCTCCACTGATTCATTGGTCATTTCATCATCATCATATTCTTCTTCTGCTTCTTCCTCTACTATTTCCTCCTCACTGACTTCCACATTGCAATCGTCAGGTATGTTTGGGATGCTTTTGCTCACGGGAAATTTTGCCATTTTCACCTGAAATTCGGGTGTTTAAAAGTTCAGAAATTGAACTAATTGTGATTGAAAGCTAATGAAATCACTGAGGAGAATGAAGAAAGCTGTGATAAACACAGAAAAGGGACGAGAGAAAAAGATGAACTTCTTCCAATGAATTACTGAACCATTGCATCACGTTATCAGTAATTACTTTGAGGAATTCTAATTTAGCATACACTATCATCCGTGCTTTCATCATCCGTTAACGATGAGAGGGACGATGATGATGACGAATGCATCCTTCAGTTGTTTGAAGTAGTAGTAGTAGTTGCTCTTGTCGCTACTACTGCTGATGTTGCTGCTGCTGATAACGATAATGATAATACTGTTTGAATATGAAGCTTTTTCTGCTAAAATGGATTTTTATTTTTCGAACAAGTTAAAATTTACATAGATATGTTGTAAGACTGAAACTGTAACTATCACGCATTTATTCTTTGGGAGTACTGAAACTTTATGAAGTGCAGTGGAAATGAAAAGATGAAATGACATGAATTAAAGTATCTACAGGTAGGATAGAAGAAAGTGTAAGGGAAATGGATAGAATAGAGTAAAATGGAGATGATGTGTCATTAATACTTTCGTAATTAAAAATAATTGAGAAAATAGAACTAATCGGAAAGCTTACTTTAAACACAAATAGTATACATCTTTTAAAGATTTAATTCGTCATTAGTGAGGAAAAGCATTAATGAGGAAAACCTTCAGATGAATGAAACACTTTTTTATGGTTATAATGAACAACAGTCTACCTCAGTAAAGTTTAGCCATTTTTCCATTACACTTATTCTGTACTGCTTCCTCTTTTATTCGCTTACACTGTAAAAATCGCTGAAATCCGGAACAGACACCAAAGAACGACGATAAATCTGATGCACTCTTGCTATGGACGGTAATTACTCTTACTGAGATAGGTTGATATCTCTGTACTTCACTAATTTATGGCCCAGTTCTTTTAGGTGATTTTTCTTGATTATACTTGAACTGTTATATTACTTGATCCTACTGACCAATGCCATGTAATGCAGTTTTGATGAAAAAAGATCATGTGCTTTAATTTCTAAATGAATAAGAAGAGTAAAACAATAAGAAGTAAGCTATTCCAATGAATTAGCTGGGAAGATTATATTACCTACTAGACGAGAACATCACACAACTATTCCAGGAATTAATTAAGCAAAGTGCTTTTTGATAGTTATTTGCATGCTAATATTGACAAAGTCTTTTATAGCTGATTTTGCTTACGACATATCACCAGAACCAAAGTTTAATTTCCATGAAATTCATCCATCTCGAAATGGAGATTATCCTTTAGACATTCGAACTTGAAGAATCCTGTCAACAGAAATTTAAATAACTACCTCTACTAATTGAAATGAGCATTCCTTTTTTAGTTAATGGATTTCAGATTTTTTTCCTTTTCTTTTTTACATTTACTATGCATTTTAGATAAAACGTGAAGTTTTACAGCCAATGCGAAAAATTTACTAATATCGATATGAAATATACAATACCAAAGAGATTAACCCTTGCAATATTACAGTTTTGAATAATTAGGTAATGAAATGACCTCTTGTGGTGCGCTGCATCGTAATTGCCAAAAGAAAAGCTAAAATTCAAGCAAGTTAACTAACTTCTAAGAACTTTAAATGAAATCATTATCTGACAAGGATTAAAATACCTTTGAACTTTTTGTATATAGAAAATATTTAAGTTTAGGGATCACCTTCAGGATCACCGAAAGCATCAAAGGACATCGTTTAGTATCATCAAGGAGTTACTTTGCTTATTATCAAAATACCATTCAGAAACCACCAGGAGTTTACCCTTTGCCTCACTAGAATATTATTTAGGCGTCATAAGAAGATCGTTTACGCAACCGCACGGCACCTCATTTTCAGTGAAACTTTATTTATCAAACCAAGCATACTCCAAAACTCTTTCTCACCGTTCAAAAGGTATTTTGGAGTATAAATTTATGACGAAATTAACAAACTGTACCGATGAAAGCCAAAACAGCTGTTACAAGGAAGGAGAACGTATATCCAACAACTGTTAAAACATATTCACAACCGACTGCTAATAGTATTGCACCCAGTGTCTGTAATAATTAATTTTTTGAAATTTATAGTAAAATTTAAAAAATTCGTCAAATTTTCAGAAAATTTAGTGGCAGTAAAGCAATATACCGTAGAAAGAATTAAACATCCATAATTGGTCGATTTGTGACTGGATCCGAAGCACTTAACGGATGCTGTTATAAAAAGAGCATGAGTAGCCGCTAGACATATAAACATGAGAACCATCTGAAAACGAGTTCGTCTTTCAGCTAAAAATAAATAAAAAGAAGCAGGAATACTGTAACAGCTAGATTTGTAGTATAAGTCCAAAAAATGCTGCAGACTTTCAGAAAGAGTTGAGTTTATTGCCATTGTCACATAAAGTCGATTCATTTACCCAGATAAAGTAGATCCATTTTCCACCAGCTGGAGTAAGTGGCATTGTTAGCAGTAACATAGTAGCCAGAAAAGTAGCAATGGATAAGGATACCTTGAAAAAAGAGGTGAAAAAATCCTTGATTAGGGACATTCTGTCCTCATAACACAAAATCTAAAGACCTGACAGGTCTCAATCCTGTCAAATTAAATAATTTTTATTATAAACACAAAATTTCATTTTTCGCCAAATAAATTTAAAAACCTTTCCATTATCAATGGAATGAAGAAACCTGAAAACTGGTACGATCGGCAAGAATACCCCATCCTATACGAGCCAAAGCATTACATATTGAAGCTATACTATATGCATAAGCAAGAAATATATCATCATCAATGAATGTTTCCCCAAATGCCTGTAAGCAAAATCATTCAAAAATTTAAATTAATTGAAGAAAAAACACAAATGATAATATCTGTTAGCACATTTTAGGAGATCTTAAGATGATAAGAAAATGTTTGATTATTACTTACAGGCAGAAATCAATCAAAGAGCCTTGTCAAAACACTTCACGGCTGCAAATGATTTCCAAAGATACAACTAGTGCAGAGAATGAAATATAATCAACCTTATAGAGATTGTAGAACATATTTCCATAAAATGAGCAACAGAAGAGAGCACAAAACAGCCAATAAAAGGTTGAACTTTGCAACATTTGTAATGGACTCAATGATATCTGTTCATGGGATAAATTGACCGTTTCTTCATCCAGCGATTCCTAGATAATTTTGTCTTTTAAAAAGAATTAAGTTTCGAAAATCTTAAAAATTGATTTTCAAACCACATTTCCTTATTCTCCCCATTTTTTCATGTAAATCGGATCACCAGAAGATATGCTGAAAAAATTTTGCTGAAATTCACATAATAAATATTAAGCCTTTCACTTATCAATTCAAAAACTTTAGTTATACCCTTATGGATTCCTGACTGAACGTCCGTAATATTGAATAAGCGTATTGCTTCATATTACCAGAAAGCGAAGTAAATTTACTTTCAAAAACATTAAAGCAATTCCATATTGACGCTGAAATCTGTATTTGGAGTGCTTCCGATTGTTCATCCTAAAAACTGTCCTTAATTTATTAAACTTTCAATGTTTTGCGCACAGATCACTTACTATCTATGTAGATTTTCTTTTCCTGTAAATGTAATATATGTATTTATACATTAATATACAAATTTTTGTGTTTCAAACTAACCACATCAATGGGATCACAAATAACTATCAGACCAAGAGCCTGCATAATTCCATAGACGATTGCAAAAGTATAAAATATTGATGGTACTCGAGCAACGACGTCTCTGTCTGTGAAATAACTGAAATGGTTGAGTGCGTCAACTTTTGTTGTTAAAATTTCAATTTGCAGCCAGGGTTAAAGTAACGAAATTGGAAAACAAGGAATGAAAATAAATGAAATTTGAAAAAACCATATTCCCAGAAATATCAAGAATTAGTTGCTTTGATAAACTTACGCAAAAACAGTCGGTTTACGGTTCAAGGGATTAAGATAGATAGTTTGAAGTGGAGTGAATATAGATGAACTGATACCGAAACCAGCTGCTACAATACCACATACAAATCCAACATGTTTTGGAGCCCACTGAAAAAGTCATTATTTTAACTTGTGTAATAGAAATTACGCGAAAATTTCCATCTTCCTTGGACTGTCAATGAAATCTTGGAAACATCGCGATGATTACTTCCAAAAAAAATCAGTTGCTTTTGCAGTACAATTATATACATATGATCCTTCGCAAATACTACGTTATGAATGAACAACAATATATAGCTTGGACCTTAATTGTGTTATTGGTTGTCAGTTGTATTACATAAATGATATAGTATTTCTAAAAATGAATTAAAAATGAATGAATGAACGACAATATATAGCTTGGACCTTAATTGTGTTATTGGTTGTCAGTTGTATTACAATAAATGATATAATATTTCTAAAAATGAATTAAAAAAAAATGAACTGAAATAAAGATCTTAACAGAAAATACAAATGAGTTAAAGGTGTCAATCAAATGGAAGTAAATAAAATGGGATTTTTTTAAAACAAATCTGGAATAGAGGAAAAAGATACAACTTCTATTATTGTTAATCTTGATCTAGAAGTATGGCCTGAGTTTGTGATAAGTATCAGATTACAGTAACCAAGTCAATAATGGTACATGAATTTTGTGTTAGATGATCTGCCATAAAATATAGCCAAAAAGCTGGACAGATTCATATTGCGCAAAAACGATGCAAGGCGCGTCGTTGATATTACATTCATATAACTAGATCTTTTGGTTATCCTATTTATATAGCTAATTTTTCCTATGAAGAGCTTTCTCCTAAGACAATTCAAATTCCGAGTAACTGCATGTCATCATTTTCAATCATTAAATAAAAATAAGTGGTACTTGCATTTATGACACATGAAACGGTAAGAACATAAGCTATTCCTTGTCCAAATCCAAACATTATTCCATACGTCATCAGAAATGTTATAAATGATCGCCTAATCGTCCAGTAAGATAAAAAAACACCAGCACTGAAATTGTTTTGGAATGATCAGACTTGTCTTTTTACAGAAATTTGAAAAGTTTTAGAAAATTTATGCGATTTATTCCCAGTAAATTGCACTTCGTGTTCCTTTTTCTAGTTCCTTAAATATGGGAAATTACGTCATAGTAGCACATCCTAAAGATGCGGAAAGCCTCAAGCCAAATTTAGCATCCATGAAACCGCCAATGACCATCGCGAAAGGAAAACAACCTGAAATAAGGAAATCTGATCAGTCATATCTGTCTCAATTGAATTTCCCTTTGAATAGATTAACGGGAAATATAAGACTACAAAGACAAAAAATTCTCGAATTTAATATGGACTTTTTGCTTATCTGACTCATGAGAACTTCAACTCTGCAAAAAATCTTTGGAAAACCTACAAAATTTGCTAATCTTCATGAAATGGCTTACCCTGAAAAGTAGGTATCCAAACCAACATTTCGGGAGTAATTGTCGGATCTGTATTATTACGCATATATGATGCCATATATGGTAGCATATTTCCTAAAATTTGACAAGAAACCAAGACAAAATATGGTGGTGTCTTATTATCTACAGTAAGGTCTGACACCAAGCAAGAGCTATATCATAAGTCAATCTCAAGTAAAACGAAGGAGATGAGGAAAATCGAGAAACTTACCGAAAGTATGATATGTTCCTAGAGACAGATGTATCAACACAGCTCCACAAATTACAATCGTCAAACGTGCTAATGGGCTAAACTTCAGAAGATACACCGCTACTGGGTCTTTTGAAATAGGTCCATGCATTTGCTCAAACCACAACTGCGTAATTCGAGAAAATTACAATTTTAATTGGGTGTATTTGAACCTCTGCTATTAGAACTGCACAGCTTTTAAAATCTTAACCTGAAATATTACAGAGTTTCTTCAGAAAGCAAGAAAAGTAAAAACGATGCTATGAAAAAGAGTTTAACAATAATTAATAAATTAATAATAATAACAATAACAAACAGGAAAAATGGGGTTAATGAATTCACTCGAATAAACAAAGAGAATAATGAGCCTTTTGCATGTGTAACATTGACCGTTCCTATTACAACTATTTCACATACTAAAAATCTATTAGACATTGGTGTAGTAGATTTCCAATATAAGAAATAGTTGTAATAAGAAAACAGTAAGGTTCTGATAAGGTTACAAGATTGCAGTAATGTGAAAGGAAGAAATGGAAGTGGCAAAATGACGCGATTAAATTGTGAAGTTATGCCTTGGATACGATAAATGACGAGTTACTACAGGACAATAAAGGATATGATTATTAGTGTTTTCGAAAAACAATGATAGAAATACAAATAAAACCAAATTTACTAACAAAAATGACCGACAAAACAGCTGAATTTATTGGGAAGGTGCATGCTGTTCCAATGAACCTTTGACACAGAAAACATTTCGATATTAGACGTTATCTGCATCGGCTGAAAGTACAAACTCACCGCATGATATTCAAAGGCTTAAATTAGACATGAAAATGTACAGCGTTCAAAGTGCACAGATAAGACCGAAAATAACGGTCATAGAGGAAATTAAATTCATCTAGTGAATTTTTTATACTACGAACTTTAAGTCTATTATTTTTAATTATATTGGCCATATATATAAATATATACAGTACTGCAGAAAAATAAAGAAAATCTTCACTTTCTTCAAAATGCATGAAAAGCATTAGTTGAACTTGAGTTAGCAGAATGAGATTATCAGAAATAAAAGAGAACTTGTGATTGTCATAAATTAACAGAGACACAGGTAGGAAATGGTAACCTGATTTCTTAATTGTCATGAAATTGATCGGTAACAGCATTTCTGCCAACAACGTGTGCAAATACGTTTTAACTGTGCGCATTTCGTATTTCATCATCGTCTGCTTTGAAATTCATTGATAGTAGAGGTTGAAAGATTCATTTTGGAAAAAAATGTTTGGATATTCTTTCGAAAGTGTTCAAAATATGAAATTAATCACTTTTACGCAACGAGAAAAGTCGCCAGCGAAATAAGAGAAATTCAATTATAGCTTTTTGAGGGATCAAACGATTGCTGTAAGAATGAGGAGGCCATTTATGGAGAAACATGATATAAAGAAGGGAATCAACGCAGTTTTCAAGTGTCAGATCTTAAGCTTCGACAAGGAACAACAAGGAACCTAAGAGAACTTCGCGGCAATTTCAAATGGTTCATTAGAAAGTATGGAGCTTAATGAATAAGTAATGGTAATGAAATGATGTAAACAGCAGTTTTGCTTTCCAGCAGCATCGTAAGGATACAAGTAGACTAGACCTAGCTTGCTTTGTGAATTGAGGCTTTCATTAACAAAACACACAGGCTCAGCTTGACCAGTGGCAAATCGATATAGAAATGCCTCCCTCGTTTCACATATCATAGAATGGCATTTGTATTCAGTTTAATTACTTGAATTTTGTGGAAATTCTGTACTGCAGTTATTCCACTCTTTTATCGAAACATGAACATTTGAAATAATGCGGCAACATAAATGAAATAACTTTTACACCACTTCTCACGCACTCTTCCCGTTACTCCACCATAAATCTCGTCGACAGTAACGGCCCATGTATCGTTCTTTTCGTTAAAAAGGAAACCGTTTTTTCTTTCCACTGCAATGACTACTTTTCAATAACGAACTTGCAAGATGCACTTCATGAAATACTACTTCATTTGAATTTCATTTAATTTCAGACAGTATGTAAGGGCTATCCAGCTTCAGAATTCAACCTTTTCATAGAATATACCGTACCTTTTCACTTGACCATTTTTTGAGACAGTATTTTACAAGCTTAAATCTTAGCAAATCTTTATGTTATTGATCTCATTTCACGATGAATTCTCATGATAACTGTCGCACATAAATGATGACGCGGTCGGATGATTCAAAAACTGGATTAACTTCAGCAATAAGATAACCTGACTCCATAAGCAACTAGCTGTAGTTATTATCGACAGCAAGCATTGCCAAAAACTAATTGAGAAGTACATAGAAGCGTTACCTGAAACATCCCTATAATAATATCAGGGAGCATCTATTACATAAAAATACTAGCTTCTATCCGGACATATGGAGAAGGGCGACATTCCTTATTCATATGCTTTAGGCAACAAATAACTTGCTTTATACAGATCACTACATTAGGACGCAACTGATGCGTACAGCAAGCGATGCGTATGTGGAAGGAGATTGACAAGGTATAAATAAAATAAGTAAATAACTGCACCAAATAACGCAGACGAGATGTTGCGATGCTGTAGCTAGTAGTGTTTGTAAGAGAACAATTAGGTCCGAAACTAATTTGTACAATTAATAAACGGTATATGCAGAAGTAGTAATGGCAGAGATCAGAGTGAAGTTTGCAGACGAATACGAAAGGGGTTTCAGCGAAAAAGTTAAAGTAATAATTTAAGAAATCTGAGTTCATTATCAAATCTTTCAAATGTTTTAGACCCAAAAATTTCAGCAGATAATGGATGAAATTATGGGTCACAAAAAGCATCTGTAAGCTTTAGTACCTTATTATGATCAACGAGGTAGTGGTCAAATAAGTGTTCAGTAGATAGAGCGAACTTTTGCCAGTCACCCTCTACTCTGTTCACCGCCATACCGGCAAGGGGGTCAAACTAAGTTGAACGCCCGATCACGATTCAGTTATTTTCTAAGCATTTATGACATGTTACATTACGAACAGGTCTGATACACCAGATTGATTCCAATGAATTAAACTAAAAGATCATTTTAGTTTTTAAACTTATCCACTTTTCCAAATTCTCTTCTTAGCAACCCCCTTATCCTCCGGAAGAAAGAAGTTTGAGATAGAGGCTCAAGAGACACAGTAAGTGGACAAATTTTAAAAAAACTAAAAAATACCTGAGCAGAAAATAATACAAGAATTATCCGTATATGTGCATAGAAACATATAACAAAGTGAAATAAAATGAGTATGGAAAATACTGTTAAGTTAATTCGAATTTCTTAGAAATTGAAGCCAAATTCCAAGTTAGTAAAGTCTCCACTTATTTCTCTGAAATATTAAAGGCGATAATATTTACCAATATGCGGTAAACAGGGTAAAAAATAATACAACATGCTACGCTGGGAAGTGCCATATTGCAGCAAAGCCATATTCAACAAATGCAACTAGATTAACTGTTTGTATGAATTTAAATTGACCACTATCGTTCTTACCCAATCAGACCTGTTAAATGAGTTCTAAACAACATCGGTATCAAAGCCATTACGCCTGATGAAGACATAAACGGACTGAATTCATTTCGAAAAGTAATAAAGGTCATTTAATTGTGCATCAGTTTATTGCAAAAAACTGAAGTTAAAATTAGAGAATCTCAAACAGTTTCTGTGGTCAAATTAAACTCAATTAAAAAAAAGAAATTCCATTAAATTTTGTTTTTCAGAGACAAATTAAAGCCATAACATAAATGTGAAAGCAGCATAAAATCGCAAAAGACCTTATTCATCATATGCTTCCTGCACGCAGTAGCACCGTACATTCTCAAACAAAATCCCACAACAGAAATCTTTAAAAATCTCGAAGATAATAAGAAAAAAATGGAAAATTAAACTTCTGCTAAATAAAAATTCACATCGTGAAATTACATAATAGCGTAAATTTTAAATATGGATAAACATATGATTTGCTGCAAAAATGACGTAAACTAAAATTACCAATTTCCTTTACCAGGGGTTTTCACGATACAAATTTCCATCTAGCGGAACAATTCATTATAAAACATTATAAAGCAAGTTTGTTAAAACAATTCTGAGTTTGGAACACAGAAAAACCATTACTAGTACTAGCTACTACTCCTCCCATTACTACCAATAAAAGATGAGCAAATAAAACCGTTGAGATGCAAATATAATTTTGAAAAATCTTATATTTCATATTCATTCTGACCTTTTTTCCATTTCACGCATCTCGATTTAATGTGCAGAGCCGCCCTTGCGTCTACATATTCAGTTTATTTCTCTAATTACATTCCTAATAAAATTCGGCACTGGTAAAATTCATTTGAAATGAAAATTCCAATTGCAAAAATCAGACAACGAAAACACGGAATTTTGCTGTAGAAAAGAAAAACAGCCTTTTCCATGCTCTAGTTTAATTTTAGATTTGCTAACTGTATATTGCAACTGTTTGTTACATAAATCATTTCGCACCTGTGCCTGATTTCTTTACCTTTGGATCATCTATCTGATCCTCATCATCATCAGTATTTTCTTTATTATCAATTTGAGCTCGTTTTGCTGATGGTGATGACTCACGCATATGAAAATAAGCTCTTCGACGAGTAGCATTACCAACAGATTGGGCAAAGCCCGCTTCTAATCCTGATAACTGATTTTCATTCGGTGCTTCTGGCGATGCATCATTTTTTGAAGCTAAAATATACAGTACTAAAATTCAACTGAGTAATTATGTTAACTGATGAGATTACATTTAACTAGTTGCATGTTATATAAAGTTACCTGACATAGAAAAAGCAAAAATTTCATGGTTAGGCAAGCATTACACTAAGGAAGCGTGAAATGTATTACTGACATCAGTAATACCCAGAGACATCACCTGTAGTTTCTATTGCTTCCTGATGAGTTCTCCGAGTGGGTGACCTGAACGACTCACGCCACCAATAGTAATGACGCAGTCTCTGTTCAACCGAATCATCAAATCGTCCTCGCGCTGGTGTTTTACATACGAAGAGTGAAGGCGTTGTATTGCTTGGCGGTGTTATATAACCGTCACGCAAGGGGGATGCTTCGTCCGATGGTGGCGGTTCTGGAGATTTTGGTCTGTCTAAAAAACGAAGATTTATCTAAGATTCAATTATTAAGATGCTTTGAAATTGCAATCTAATAATGAAGAAAAACTCGTAGATGAATAATAACACTGGCTCCTGCTTGCTAAAAATTGTAAAGAATTATCTTATGCGCACACTATTTTTGAATCTTATATTTTTATATTTAGGTCAAAAAATTTATTAAGATAACTTAAAATGTTCCAAAGAAATCATAAAATGACTTCCAAATTTGCAGGACTTTTAGGCATTGAAAGAGAGCTTTGGTTCTAAAGGTCTGAGAGGCAAGGAACCATCCCTTACCAGAAATACTTCCTGAAGTACTAGGCAGTTCGTGATCTTCATACTCCAAAGTGTCACAAGCAGAGATATCTCGCCGCAATTCGAAATCTTCTGATGTAAAGCTGTTCTCCTGCAAAATTAGAAACATTCAATGAACTTCAAACTCAGGAAATAGTAACCTCATTTAAATACTTGAAAAGCGCGGTGTAAAAAAATACCAACAAACTTTACAACTGCATAAAAACGAAGAAAATGAATTAAGAAACGTAATAAAGCGATTACCTTATTAGAGATCTGTTCGTCTGGAATTTCTTCTCCGTGTGAAATGTTGCAATCATTGCTGAAAAAAAAATCATCTGCCCTTAACATTTGCAAATCCCGGTTTTCCAGTATCAGTGTTCGTCACTTAATTTCTTTTTCTGGCTGAGAACACAGAAAAGCTTTCGGTAAAAACTAAGTAATGTAAGCATAATGTAATATTAGCACTACGGAAATATTATTTACGAAAGAGAGTTAATGATGCTAACAACAAGCACAAAGAATTCATTTAGTTCACTAACAGCATAAAGTAAATAAAATGGGAAATTCCTATGAAAATGTAAATATGACAAAGTAAATTTAAACATTTGAAACTTACCTTTCAAAAACATCACCTGCTGCTCCAAATTGATAAGAGGTAGTTTTGTTATGAAATAAATTAGTTAAACCATTTGTATCTCCACCATAGCCATCTGCAGAATTGTTTACTGAATAGGAATACATCGAATATAAGAGATTTTTGGAGAAAATCTCATAAATGCTCAAAAGATATTGAAAAATTACTTTGCTCAAATTCATGGCCACTTTCTAAACTACTTGAAGAGGGAGTATCAACATCCATCCTTGAAACTGTTTCAGTTTGATCGTAACGTAATTCTTCGCTTGCAGATGTTTCCATTACATTAACCAACTCATCTTCACTTTGACTCATCTCCATTCTTTCACCACTGCCAGTTTCAGTGTCATCATATTTATAATCTTAAATTATAAAATTACAACTAATCAAAAAAGAAAACAGTCAAAATCGTTTGTCATTTTTTGATTATATGAGTGTGCGATAACTTTTTTGACGAAATATGATTAAAAAATTGCTGCAGTGATGTTAAACTATGTCTTACTACAACAACATTTTTTTCCTTTTTTAGCAAAAGTTAAGAAATCACCATCGTCATCTTCCTCAAATCTTAGTTGTAACCGTGAGGAGTCACTGACACGAGGAATAATTCCATGTTTAAACATCGGAGACTCATCAGATGTCTGAAACTATTATATGTTAAATTCTGTTAAAAAAAAAATTGCTTGAGAATATATCTAATTTTTAACACAACTGTATGGTTTTATTATAACTGTTGCACATAATTTGGTAGCTATAAAAATTAATCATATATTTTTTATTGCTTACAGCTCTGAAGACACGATGAAATGCAGAATGTTGATGACGATATATATGCATTCTTTTCAGATATGTTGTTGCATGCATTATAGTGCTACGTGCCGGTTGTACAATCCACGAAGATGCCAAAAGAGATGAATAACCAATTGTTAATAGTATCCACCACATGTTGCGTTCAAGATACTTATACTGAAAAGTCATCTAATTTAATAATGAGACTGTCACACTCCATTTCAACAAATTAAATGAATAAGTGTATGGAGCAAAGTACATATACAAATAATTAAGCAGTGACCTAAACAAATAATACCTGGCGTTCATGGATGCATTTCGCTATCATTGGAATGCAGCAAATTTCCTCAGCAGTGGGTCTTTTGCTAGGATCTGTTTCTAGCAGAAGCAAAACGATATCCAGCAAAGCGGGTGGAACATCTACAACAGCATAGAGTGCACTTTGAGATCAAAACAGAAAGGAAATGAAAAATTTTTTAAATTGTCTAAAAAATGGAAAGAAAAATTATGCCTTTGATAAATTCATGATAAATCCTTTTAAACCGAAATCCCTGCCAAAGATCTCCTGTAGTAGGCAATTCAAGATCAGTGCAAATATCAACCATTGTCATTCCAAGAGAAAATATGTCACTTGGTTTACGAGCTCCACTTTGCAATACTTCAGGCGCCAGATATTTTCCATCACCTTCTTCTTCCCTCGAATCCTTAGAAGCAAGCAAAAGTTGCCAGGTGGACAGAAGATTTAATACAATGTATCAAATTTTAAACGAAAAAACAAAGACATACCTTTTGTATGTCAACAATTAATGAGAAATCACCAAGTTTACAAATTCCATCAAAAGAAACCATAATATTCTGTGGTTTAATATCCAGATGGAGAAGTTCATGACTATGCAAGTAGCGCACTGCCTGATAAAACAAATTTTAAATAATTACTAAGGATAATTTGAAGATTCTAGCATCGATAAAAAAGTCTAAGACATCAGGCCTTTAATACAATCGTTTTTCTAACGCACATACCACTTCATGTGGTAAGAACAACATTAAAGAAAGCAATCATAATTCGCAAATCAAGAATGCGATAGATAAACACTCAAGATTATTTATTTGTATCTGAATACCATACCAGTGCAATATCTCCAAAAAAAAGCCACAAATCTTTCTCGGGAATAATCCCCACTTTCATCTTGTAATCGAGGAGACTGAAAATAATTTTATGATATTATATATGAATCTTAAGATTTCCTGTTAATTCGAGCTTCACTTTTCATTCGAAAAAAAGTCGGACCTGCACTGGCACAGCTCTGTTTGTATATATAAAAAACCATATTCTTCCCATGCTCGCACAAATGAAATTAAATTTGGATGCTTCGGAAGCAATTCATGTTTTTGAACTTCTCTCAACTTATCCTCACGATCTGCTGGGCTTCGGAATGGTTCCACGGTAATTTTAACAGCATACCAACGCTTATCGTCTTTACTGAATGCTTTGAACACCTGAAAAAATATCTCTAGAATCTAATCAAAATAATTTATAACAACTTATTGGACGCCCTTTTGTTTTGTAACTTAAACTTGATAAAAATGATGAATAAGGAATTAAACTATTAGATGAAAACTATTAAATAGAAAATCAAAAGCCATGATTCAAGTCGCAATATTTTTAGCACCTCACACCACATAATCAATTATTTATTCCGAGTTGTCACTTACTTTTTTTTTTCGGAATAAAACTCATACTATTACCATTACTTGCTTTTCCTCGAATAAGATGGTCTAAAAAACTAGCTCCAATTTATAAACTAACACTCTTATCAAAAAGAAAATTCATTAGTATCAGAAACCTTCTTACCTCACCAAATGAACCTTTCCCAATACATCGTGGATTCGAGAATGTTTGGTCAAAAAAACTCGAGCGAAACCTTTCATTATAATAATTTGTTTCGATCATTACTGCAATGAAATATATATTTCAGCTACTAATTCATACATATTTATTAATTTGAAGGTAACGCCGTACCGCTTTCATATAAACTGTTTTTAGCCCACTTCATTTCTCGCAGTAGAAAAGTACGTTTGGAAGTAATTATTGTTCAGAAGTTAATGCTTGCAACTACATCTCACGGTAAAGGAAAGAATTAATTAATTTCTTGACCGGAATCAGCTGTTGCAAGATATTTCTGCAGTGCATAACCCTTGTACGAAGAATTTTAACAAATGTTTAAGACCAGGAAAAGCGCAATGTTCATGCCACCCTACCTCCCGATCTTTCAAGTACCTTAAATTTGTGTACATACATCGATTACGATTGTACGGTAAATCGACTGTATTAAATTAATGCTTATTGCGATTAAACAAAAGACAATACCTGGCTTCTCCTTAAAACTTATAAAAAAAGGGCCCTTTAGGTTCTCATTCGATACGCGCAATGAACGGCAAGAAGTCTGCTGGCATATGCGATGATGTGATATTCTAGTGTAATCAGGAGTTGCCTTAAAAATGAGATATTTAAAAAAAGTGCAAGTTAAAAATTATAGAAATGCATTATATAACTTAGCCATAGCTACCAGCTCCTGCTTGCTGATAAAGTGCAGAGAGCAGTTTCAGAGAAAACCGCAGCTTTATTCATTTTATTTCATTATATACAGAGAGTGCAGTGACCTGCTAAGAATCTTTCACATCATCTTATAAAAAGTTAGTATTATTACTTTATTTCTTGAAATTACTTGTCGATTATTAGAAGTTGAATATTTTCGAACAACCAAGAAATGCAGTACCGGTTTCTTGTGGACTGAATTAAGTATCTGAATAATTCTTGAGCTTAAGCTTAGGCAGTCAGGTGTTCGTTTAATTTCGTTTTCATTTTCCGGTTTCGTATCCTCATGTGTCTGATGTCTCGGCATCACATGGTCATCGTTATCATCGTCATCCTTATCCGATATATTTATTTGAAGCTGCTGTTGTTGATTGATTTCATGATCGATTGGTTTTTCATTGAGTGACATGTCTATAAGTAATTTAAATTAAAATATTTCTCATTCTTTGTAATTGGTTTTGGCAGTGATATTGAACAAGAAAGAATAACTAACAATCAGATATGCCTTTTCCTTAGTCTTCATAAATTATAACAGAAACTCCACAACATAACGCTATTGCAGATCCAATGAAAGACATCGGATTCAAGAATACAGTCACGTCTCTCCACGCAAATGAGATAGACATAGAATACTTCATATCTTTCCTACTTAAACGACCCATTAATAAATATAATACCTGAATCCCTAAAACTAGCCCTTCCAAATCATTTTACTAGGAACGACATGGTCATTAATTTAAAAATGCCGCCTGGAGGGAGCAATTTCAATCGATAATTACTATTTCGTCGTGTGATGTCCAGAATAGTTGCGAATCGCTCTTGCCCACCGAGAAAAGTCCCGTGGTAAACGTGAAATCTCATGTAAACAAAGTGTAATCAAACTTCTAAATAAACAAGTCAAAATAACGAAAGAAAGAACCCACGCATGCAGGAAGCGCCCAGAAAATTTTTAAACAGAAATTGAAAATTCCACACAGAACCTGTGCGGCGCTCTTCGTGTTGTAGCACTATTCTCTTAGCGCGCCTGAAGTTTGAATTCGAAAATGAATAATTTGGTCGACTAATAAGCATAAGGCACATAGCGTTCTGTTATTCGAGTTCGAGATTGAGATTAATTAGCTTGTTTGGCTTTCATAAAATCGAATCATTCCTCCCTCAGATTCCAATTGTCGTAAAACACACAACTTATTTAAGTTAGTCTTAGAACCGAATAATAAGCAATTTCATTCAAGCAATGTCTTTAAATATGCAAAAACATGTTATATTCCAGGACCAACTCTTCACAGGAGCAATCGAAGATTCGGAGGATTCAGAAGCATTCAGAAACACTCAGAAACGAAGATTCAGAAACATTCCAGACCGATGATTAGAAGCACTTGAAATTGAGACGAAAAAGTAATAGCATATCAACACAGTGCTGTAAAATTTTGAATTTCGTTACTGTACAAGATTGTCTTTAGTTCAGTCAATGAAACAAACTGCTCTCCAGTTGAGCACAAGCAAAGCAGTTCAAATAGGCCCGGGATTTTTCAGTCTGTTAAATGCCTTCCATAGAATCCCATTCTGCGCAAACTTCATCTCTGCATTTATTTCTATTCCTTCTTCCATTATTAAATCTTTAAAAAAATGCAACAAATTTTTTTATTATTTCACATCGAAGGAAAAGTGAAAGTTGAGGGATGAAATTTTCCCAGTTATTTTGTTTAGTATATTTTAAATAATTTAAAAAGTTTAGTCCCTCAAAATGATATGGACGAATAGATGAATATATCAAGCAGAATTAATGGGACATTTGTCTTCATCTCTTTGTGATTGTGCTCATGGGGTGATGTTGCTCGACCTTTGACCAGTCATTTATTAGACGAAAAAGTATGGATGACATCCAGAGTGTAACATAGCCTGACTTATCGCAAAGAAGTTCGTTTAGAGCCAGAAAGAGATTTATCGATGCATAATAAACCTCTGATATCCATTCATATCGTTTAATTCATTACATATCACTCTTATCACTTAATCCATGACACGTCACTCTTATCTCTCAATTCATGGCACGCTTTACCAAATAAACGCAGATTTTCCGCGTCAGCTAGTGCTTTTTGCAATGCCTTTATGAGGTTTTTGTAGCACTTTACTGATTTCGTTTAGAGCAGAAAAAGATTTATTTGTGCATAATGAAGCTTTGACAGTCACTCATATCGTTCAATTTATTAGTAACATTCACTTGTTCCCATGCATTTTTATGTCGAATTAATTAATTTCTAAAGCAGTTTCTTAGGCTAATTTTCCTGATAACAAACCTCTCGTGACTCTCAGAAATTGTTGAAATTTATTTAACAAGAAGCTATCAAATGAAGAAAAGATCACAGATATTTTTTCCCTTGGAAAAGATCATAAGGTCATTTTCACCTATGAAAGAAAAATTATGGAACTATCACTGTTTTGAAAATATATATATAACGACATTAATCTTTGCAGGTATATTTATCCGTCTTTAAATATTACCAGGCGTGACTTTTTCCAAAGTACTACTACACATGCGTATGATGCGATTATCAAACTAGCTTTGCATTAATTAATATTTCAAAGAATGAGAAAAAACCTGAACTAAGAAATAATTAAAATGGTTATCAACTTGACACGTCATGCATCTCACGTTTATTTGTCTATTCATCTGAGTACAAATTTGCATGTTTGAATCCAGTAGTGCTAGAAAATATTTCACTAATTTCAGTATTTATTTTAATTTCGCAAAAGCGTTTGTTTGCATCTATTAAAGACCAAGTATATTCTGATAGTTTAGGTTCATATTCTTATACAAAATAGAACTTAATTTATATTATGTATATTAGATAGGAAGTATTTACACTAGCATCTTTTTTTATTTGGCAACTTTTTGTTTAGCAATTTCAGCAATTTCTGAGAGTCACGAAAACTGTTTTAGAAATCAATCAATCCGATATGAAAATGCATGGAAACAAATACAAGTTACTACTAATCGGATTAAGAATATATTTCCTTTGGGATTCGGAAGTCCAGTATATATATATATTGGAATATATATGGAACTGGATTTTTCAGCAGTTTAGAGCTTCTGCCACCTGTCCTATTGGATGTCACTATCATTTTGGCGATCAGGTTGATAAGATATTACAAAAGGACTTAGTGAAATTCCGGAACATTTATCAGTGAACCAAATTTTTGAGCTTCAAAATTAAGTTATAAAAGCTAAGCTAAAAACTGCGAAAATATGTAAATTTAGACTGTGAATTGGTTTGATTTAAATTAATCTCCAAGCATGTTTCATTTCTTTTCTAATTTAAGGATTCAGTCCGAAGCGCTGAGCCAAGAATTAACTAAAATCTCGGCCAATACTTTATCAATTGTCTTTATTGCCGCCCGTCATTCTCATCATATATTAAAGACTATTGGCTAAAAATTTATGGAGTTTTCATCCCCTGCGGTAGTTAATTTTATTAATTATCGTATATAATGAAATAAGATAAGAAGGATTCGCTTTTTCAAATGGAATATTTTCTGTAAGCTCCTATAGCTAAATGATTTCAAATCGAATGGAAAAAAAAACATGAAAAAAAAAAGAAAAAAGGCTCGTGCTTATTCTTTTGGGATGTCTGGAATAGTAGAAAGATGATCAGGGAATAAACGATCAGTGATAATTATACCTGGACGGGTAAATTGTATAGAATAGATAAGGAAAAATCAATGGACAAAATTGAATCATTCTCACATTACCACTGTATAGACAGGATCCTATAATTGAATTCATTGTGCAATAACTCTCCGCCATCGAACATTTCTCATCAATTCAAATGAATACATAGCCAACTAAGTGTTTTCGTATTTCAAAATTAATTTTGTTCATAGCATAGCATAGATTCTTTTCTACCTTATCTATTTTTTGAGCTTCTTCTCTCTTGGAGGAATGCAATCAATACTTTCTTCAAGAGTTCCCGGGAATGAAAGCAAAGAATTTCATTTAATTTAATCTCTTCCAGTTAAAAGCAACGAGAATTTGATTTTATCTCTTTCGGTATTGATTCAAAATAAGAACAACAGTTAATGTCCTATTTCCTTGTAATTTTTAACACCATAATTTACATATGTAATAAAGAGTTCTGTTTAAAAAGCTTTATAAGTAGGAATGAAGTTTTTCCTCAATTCAAAATTTTGTTGTTTGTAATCCGAGTTCTTTTTCGACTATGAAATAAGAAAGTTGAATAATTAAATAGGAATTGATGAGACTAGTAAGTAAAAAGAACGCGTTAACTTTTTTATAAGGATTTTTAAATTTTTTTCAAAAATTCTTTAAATTTTTCTTAACTTCCAAGTTTTGCAGTCTCCTCTTTAAAAATATGGAATTTCACCTTATAATTGGTAAGTGCTGATAAGGTTCCATTGTCATTGATAAGCAGATCACAGTGCAGGAAGAACGAAAGAAATGTTTCTGTTTTTTTTATTGCAGGATATTCACGTAGTGGAATTTCAGTGTTCCATAAACTTCGTGCTTCAGATCGCTGATGAAAGGCAGATGCAATGGTAAGGATGGAAAGAGAAATACAAAAGGATATAATGCAGGAGTAGAAATAAGAAATACAACTTCTATTTTTCGCAAATATTTCACATAAATAAAAAACGTTTACAGCAAGGTAACAAGGTTCAAAGGTTATTAGTTTGTATTAGATGAACTGTTTATGAGTTGCATACTCTACTTTGTCCGTGATACATTCATCTTTTTGATTAAAAATCATTAGGACTGTCAGAACTGCTTTGTTTATGATCTTTTCTTCTTGATTTTTTCTTCGAAACTTTAGATCAGTTCAGCTGGGTAAGTTCCTTTAATTTCAATGCAACGTTTGCTGTTTTTCATTTAAAATTAAACGCAAATTTAACTATATCTACCTCTCTCTTTCTTTCTCCCTTTCTCTCTCTCCCTCTCTCTCTCTCTCTT